GGCGAGCCGGCGAGCCGAACTTAAGCTCGGCTCGCCGAGCCGCTTGCTTTGGGCGAGCTCGGGCACGAGGCGAGCTCGCCCAAAAGGCAACAAGCCGAGCTCAAGCTCGGCTCTTTGCCAACGAGCCACGAGCTCGGCTCGTGCGAGCACGAGCACGAGCCGAGCTCGTGCGACAATGGGCCGAGTCGGCTCGGCTCGGCCCATTGACACCACTAGGCAGATGTATTATCCAACTCATGAATTTTTGCTACCTTCTTTGGGACTACTCGATTAGATGAGAACACGGAGTGTGTTTTTGCAATCAACTCAAACAAATCCAATGCATAATTAATCGATTTATTTGTGATGGACCCATTTTCTGAAACCACTTGAGATTTTGAAAGGGGTGAAAGTCCAACATAGAAGTACTAAACTTATTGACCCTTGCATATCTCATGATTTTGACATTTCCTTAATAGCTCTTTAAAACGGTCACCTGCCTCGTGGTAGTTGTAAGAATATGTACTTCAATCAACCAAGAACCGGGCTCAGTTTACCGACCAAATCAACACCCAATTGATTGAGCCTAAACCTTTCCACTATTCCTCTCTTGGTTGCTTTCAATTGTACCCACTTAGGACACAAAAGGGAAGATGTTTTGCAGCCACAAATAGAAGCCACAAAGGCTAGGAACAATGAGAAAATGAACAAGACAACTTACTAGTCGGAAGCACAAAGGGAAGCAGTCGTGTCTCTCTCTCAAACAAAAGGGGCAAAACACTCTTCGAATGACAAAGTCGTGAATAAGGGAAATATATAGGATCACTTAGGGTATAGTAATGGGCCAACCCAACAAGAAGACAATAATTGGGCCGAATAAGCCATCCACTAAAGGAGGAACTGGGCCATGAGATGGCCCCAAATAGTTTTAGGGTTGGGGTCATCAATATTAGGTGTCGATACAATACTTATCCAACATCTATTTTACATCATCGTCCAAATTTATTGGATATAAAAAAACCCAACAAATCTCCACCTTAATTCTCAATAAATCTGCAAGCAACCGAAAACACACAGTTTATACTTGCATAATCAAAGTAACCAATAAAATTGGTATCGCATACCTTATCTCGTGTTTCGAATCCGAACACTTACCATATCTGCTCCATGTACTCACCAGGGTTAAGGTCAATAACACCCAAATAGAAGCAGATAATCACAACAATCAATCAAGAGCAAATAAACATGCGATGGGGATATCATATATAGGATAACACATAGATCTTTTCAAAATATGTTCACATGGAACAACATATTAACACCAAGTTAATTAACAGGTCAACACATAAGCAAAAAATGCATAAATGACCCCCATGAAAAGATCTCACCACACGTATCATATCCCATTCCGTGTTGCTCACACCTCGAGAACACATATCTCACATCATCGCCCATCATGCTCACTAGCTAATCACTCAACCCATGTCTAACTAGGAGAGGGCAAAACTCAAACCAACCCAACTAAACCTAGGACTGTCAATTGATTGAATTTTGATCCGAATCCGACGAGATTAATGGGAGATGGATTATGATCTCAATCCGATAATTCGATCAAGATACGAATCCGATAATTCGTTAACTAAATGAATCAAATATGGATATAGGTCAATCCGATCCGATAACAATTCAATCCGGTTTATTATAAATAATTTTGTCGGTAAAATATTTTTATAACATATTATTTGTCACTAAAATAAATAAATTTAGAATATAATATAAAAGTAATCAAATTCAAAACTTAAAAAAATTGAAAAATTTATAATTATTAACATGTTTAAGAAAGGGAAAATTTGAAAAAAAAAAAAAAGTTGATTTCAACCAATGTTTAAAAACTGACTTGGGTATCGACTTGGAAAAAGAAGAGGGTCAAGGGTCAAAAAGTAGAATTGGGGTCGAATCGGTTGTCAAATTAAATAAATAACTATACACATAAATTTAAAATATTATAAAAACAATAGATTTTTTAAATTTTAGTTTACTAATTTAAAGTAAATAAATATCTATATTTTTCTTAATTAAATTTATTATTGTAATTTATTTTACAACTTCAAAAACTAATAATTAATATGTAAGAGATAATTTGATTTGTTAATGAAAATAATGAAATAAAATATTTATATTTAGAATTGAAATTTAATTTTACCTTATTCCACATTGAATGTCAATAGAAAACTAGAAGATGATATCTTCTTAAAAGGAAATACCATGATGGTAGAAGTCACTATTGGGCTTGCTATTAAAAACAGGTGGGCCTCAAGTTAGTTTAAAATTTTTTAAAGAGCATTGATTTTTTTCCTAATTTTTATTAATTTCGGATCGGATTATCGGATCGAATATCTGATAACATAGCAAATCGAATATGGATTTAACAATTAAATATCAGTTGGATTATTGGATCGGAACGAATAATTTTTTTATCGGATGGGATATAGACAGATCCGATCCATATTCGATCCATTTACAGCCCTAACTAAACCGCCCAACCCAACCCAAACCTACCAGTTTAGGTCCATTTTTTGATTTTTTTTTTTTTGCAGGTTTCGGGTCGAGTTAGGTCGGGTTATAGGTTAACAACCCAAACCCGATCGAAAAGAACCCAACCCGACCCGACCCAAAACCTAAATTTTTTTTTTTAAAAAAAGAAAAATGACTTAAGGCTTTAAAAACAAAACCCTAAAGGGCAAGTCCAGCCACAGACAAAGCTCTGCTATCTCCGTCTGTCGCTCAAATCGCCTTCAAGCTACCGTAGCCAGCGCTCTGCTCTCTCGCTCAAATTCAATCCCCATATCTCTCATCTCCAACCATCCCAACCCTCCCCCTATCACAGCTGCAATACGCTGTGCCCAGGTAAGTTTTCGTTTAATCCGCTTCTCTGCCAAATAAGACGTTGAACGATTGTAAACTGTTAGATACAAAAATGTATAGCTAAAATTCACTGTGTTAACACTATAGATCAAGTTTTGTTTGACATTAATTCTATACGAGGCATAAAGTGTTGAATGCCATGGTTTCTTTTCATTTTCAGGTATAGAATCGCGACGATTGAGCCATCCTTCAAGTGACCTTTGTACATCTGAGTCAACAAAAGAGGTAACTCGTGAACGCCCTTTTACCAACATTTCATAATTTAATGAATGTTAGAATTGATGAACATGAACAGATATAAAAGTTAAGAAAATAATTGACAGTGATGAAGAAGATGGCTTCCATAGAATTTTTACTGTGTTTTGTAATATTCTGGTGCAAACTTTCAGCACTGCATTATTTGCTTCTATCCACCTATTTTTCAAGATTCAATTTTATCTATAATAATAATGTAATTTCCTGTTTCATTTGGATTGTACTATTTTATTTTTCAAGTTTATTGACATTGGATGGTTAATGGCTATATTAATGTTATTTTACATCAAAAAATTGGATGATTTTAATTTTTTTGCCATAAGTTTATCTCAAACCGACCAACCAAACCCAACCTAACCCGATCGACACATAATTGGGTTAGGTTAGGTTGGGTTGGGTTTCAACATTTACATGGGTTGTGTTGGATTTAGAACAAACCGACAATGTTGGGTTGGGTTTGGGCAAAAACCGACCCAACCCAACCCAACCCACGCCCACCCCTATGTCTAACCGGTAAACCTCTATAGATCCTAAGTTCTAGGGATAATCCTCTATCCCCACATCACTTCTCCCAAACTAAGTCGATAATGGATCTCTACCTAACAGAAGTAATAGAAGTACCTTTCTCACACTCTACATGATCAGGGTCTCTTCACAGATAAAGGATTCCAACATTTGATCACCTCTCCACTCGTGATCCAAATGTTACACTCCACATCCCCGGTACAAACCACTAATGTACCCTTAGGCATCTATACTTCACCTTACCAAAAGACATACAACACACTGCTAATACATCCTAACCCACTATGCATGCAAATGATTACACCAAGTAATAAGGTCACTCTAATTCATGTCAATGCACATATCAAACACATTGAAATGCTGCATATAATTATGTAATGAAATTGAGCAATCACACACATGCAGAAAGGATTATACACAGATGCAAAAGCAGTAACTAGGTTTACACTCAATAAGCCTCACTGGGGTCATCACTCGATCTTAATGCCAAATTCATCTCGCCTCTCAACTTACCATTCTGCTTATCCTTGTTCTTCTTATGACAGTCTCTAATAAAGTGTCCAGTCTTACTACAACTGTAACACCGTCTACCACTAGACTTGTCCAATCTTTTACCCTTCTTCTTCCCACCTTCATCATTCGAGTCACTACTCGAATCACTATTGTCCTGAGCTCTATCCAAATTCATTTGTTTAAACTTCATTCTACTCCTCATCATATGCAACTCACAACTTCTTTTATCTTCTTTTTCAGCCTTAATCTCCATATCCTTACTCTTAAGGGAATATATGACAATTTCAGGTGGTAGGGTGTTCCTACCATACTTAATTGCATTTTTAACCTCTCTATATGAATCAGACATAGAATTTAGCAAAATGATGGTATTATAAGTTTCAGACACCTTCTCGTCAAAGTTAACGATATCTTGAACCAACTTGTTAAAAACAACAAAATTGTCATCAAGATCCTTTGAAAGATCTATTTTAAAGCTAAAAATCTTTTAAACAAATACAATTTATTCGGAGTAGACTTAAGCAAATATAAATCCTCCAACTTTTGCCAAAGTTTTTTAGTAGAATCAAGTTTTCCAACTTTTTCTCAAAACAACATCAAACAAGTGTAAAATAATTGAAATGTATGCAAGTTCATCATATTCTTCTTTTTGTG